GTTTAATAACTCACCCAGAAATCCAATGTGCATCAGAAAAAGATTTATGTGATAACACTGTGCATTTTAGAATGCCATGATAACAGAAGTCAAGTTCATTTTTACAAACAACTGCATATCCAGCATCAAATTTATATTCTATTGCCTTGCTATTTACATTAAAAACCAAAGGGATAAAATAAAGTGTACCATTTTCACCTGTGAAAATTTATTTTTAAAATTGCTACAACTCAACATTTTAATTTCATTTCATTGAAAAAGTTAAATAAATTTGAAATTATGAAAACTAGCATCAAAAGTAGCAAAGCGTGTTCAGTGGAATATTGAGAAAAACAAAAATTCCTTTCAACTTTAAACACTACAATTTTTCATCTGTGTTGGCATTTTAGTATTCAGAATAAATAAAATTCAACTAAATGCAATTTTGAAACAGGTAAAACAATAACATAAAATTGTTAAAGAAATCAAAAATTATTTGAGAAGAATTGTTATTTTTTATAAGAATGTTGCATAATAATTCTAATTTTGATGATTTTTTTAGCAAAATATGATAATTTTCTGCAGTCATTGTAAATCTCTCAATTTGTATTGAACTACACCAAAAAATAATCCAGTCTTATGAATAATTTATATAATATTCATATAATACTTCACCACTCCATTTTCATGGTTTTAAAAATATGATACTTAATTAAAATTGCACTACCTGTTTTGAATTCAAAACATTCTGAATTTTTATACTTAAAAGTTTTTATTGAAGGATGCTTGAACTTACATAAATTTAAAATTAGATCCCATAGTATATAACAATTCTTATGTAAATTAGTTAATTATGGTACTAGATTTGACACACTTGTAAGTTTAATTAGAAATCACAAAGATAAACCAAAACAACCTCTGATTGCTGCTGTAATTGAGCAAAAAATAGTAGCAAAAAAGCTTAATTTCATGCTCATGCACACCACAATTACTGATCTGCTGCTCACAATGCACCCTTTTAAAGTAAAATACGGCAGTAATGAAGAAAATTCAAAAATACTGAGTTAATATTTATTTCGATTTTCATGAATATGCATTAAAAAAATTTCCACATCTATATCAATTTAGCACTTAGTTATAAGAAAGTGTTTTAAAGATTGTTTTGCACTTTTTAATAATTTCAATTGACATGCACACTTTGCAGTTTTACTGCACTCACGAAACGGTGTATACGTACAATACGTTGCCTAAGGCAGAATCTGAGCTCTAATGCAATATGGTGGAAGTCAGCCAGTGCGCAGAGCGATTACGGGCGAGCTCTCTTCGAAAAAATAGTGTGGAGAGATTGAGCGCACTACGCTTGAATTCTGTTTTTTATTTGAATATTACTCTTTGATTTACTTTTGTTACTTTGGTTATTTCATTACTTTTTTCTTGAAGCATCAAGTTATTCCATACCTTATATATATTTTTATTTAATTTTAATTTATGTGAATCACTGGTGAACACTTTTTTAGGAGTTCTTGGCGTGCACAAAACGGTCAGTGATCGTCAGTGACCACATCTAGAGAAAGGATTTATAAACTGAATATTGAAAGAGAACTATCTGTTTTAAAAGCAACGATGAGCATTCGAGAAAGAATGAGAAGCCAAAAATATAAGATAGTTTCTGGTAACTGTGAATATGTTATGCTCAACACTGTTCATAATCTGTTGTTAAAACATATGTTTCCGTATAACGCACGAAAGATGGTTCGTGACGTCTTGTCAAATCTGACGATCTATAGAGGAATGGATTAGATTCGAAGTTTCTGGGCGTGAGTTTCTGAATGCGTTTGTCTGGATTTTTATCTATATGTGCAAGTGCATGTGGAAGGTCAGCTAGTTGATATGCATGTTTATGGATGTCTGTTGTTGGTATGTGCGAGGATGTCTGTCATTGGTGTCTGTTGCTATGTGCGTCTTCTGGCGTGAGTGAAACGGTGATTCTGTTATGATACTTTTGTTATTTCATTATTTTTTTAAAGTATTAAATGATGCCGTGTTCGTGCATCTGTGAATGTATGGATGAGTTTCTGGGTGCATCATAGGATACAATATTTAAGTGACGAAAAATGGCACAATATTTAAGTGAAGAAAAAGAAGAATTTATAAAACTTCGTGATGATCACTAACTTGACTAAAATACATCTTTAAAGCTGATCCTCGAAGTTCTAACTCGAAAAATACTACGTAAATATTCATACACTTCCATATCAAAAGTTAATCTTCACGCACTCTCTCATTTATACTATTTACTTTACTCTCCCCTTTTCTTCCTTCAATCAATCATATACATCATTAATGATATTTGCTTCAATATTTAGATGATAAAACTAGAATCTGAAAGGTGAGGCGTGATGAAATATTAGCGACACACGATATTCAATTCAATTTACTTGTACAATTATAGTTGCAGTTATTATTACAATTGATGATCTGAAAATTTAATCTAAAACATAAGTGACATGGAGAAAATCAGCAACGGGAACTAATTAAGAATAAATGGAAAGTATTTGACATGTGATTCATTATTAATTTAAACACGTGATTGGCATTGTATGTCAATGATTAAAACGATATGTTGAATTAATTCAGTAGATCTTATTAGCATCAAAAATCAGTGCCACACTTACGTGTTTGGTTCATTGTTTTAAAGCGTTCATAGCGAATAGTTGATGGGGCAAAGTTATTCAGCAAAATGAACAAAGAGTAAAGTAAACCAATGCCAAGAAGGTCACTAACAGAGGTCAATAGAGGTATCAAGTTATTATCTGGATCCATTCGACACCACGACAACCAGTAAACCGTTACTTGGCAAAAGTAAAACAATACCACAGCCTGCAATATCAATAAGATGCATTAATGCAACACATAAAAAATATAAATATAAGACTGAAATTAAATCATGCGTTCTTAGCAAATTTATAGCATTTTATCCAATCGATTTTAAAAAAGTTAAATTGAAAACATTGTAAAAAGTTAATATTACTTGGATAAAAGCGACAGCAATATATGTTCCAACTAAGATCCAACTGAAATCAACATTTTTGGCTGTGAAAATGACAATAATTACAACTAAAAAATTATACGGAATTGCTGTAACTATCAACAATAGTGCCACTTTGGAATCTAAATCTGCAATAATAAGAATACTAAAACTGACAACTTCAGAGATAATTTTTGACATAATTATCGAAAGTTGTAAAGGAATACATGCTTTTAATTAAGTAAATGTGCCCATTTCGTGGACTAAATTTTTTTTTAAATAAAAATAATTTGCCTTAAAAAGCATTTGTAGAAGGGAAATGCTTTCTCACTCAATCTCATATATAATTAAATGATTAAGTAATTAATAGATTAGCA